AATCGTGATATTACCCTCACAAGCATGTGTTATTATTTAAATGTAACCATGTATTCAATATCACCGATACTCTATAACCCTGTACAACATTCTATAAATACCTCCCAAATCTTCCAACGTCTTAACAGCTAGTTCAATCATTGCTATTTCCGTTGACAAAAGTGCGAGCGATAACGCCAAAAAGAACGCAATGGCGAGTATTTTCCCTCCTGTAATGGTGGAATATAGAATTGGCATCCTGTAAAAAAGAAAATTATTTATACAGTTTGCCAGTCCTAGTCAACAACATTTACAATGGAAGGGAAATTACAGAAGCAGACGTACATAGACAAATTACTCCGAATTAACAAAATATTTTGGTAGCAAACATAAAAATAACCCCCACGTCGCAAGCTATTGTGATGACAAATCTCAAACGACATCTTTCGGAGAATTGAATGATTAAGTTGAAATGAAGACTTATCCTGGAGTGTTATCGTGACAAAGTTTATTTAAATTGGCAGAAAACATGATAAAGAAACATTGAACCCAGCCTTTGAGGGGAGGTAAAAATTTACACGTACGCGTGCAACTAGAAGTTCACATAGATATGACCAAATTTCATTATCTGTGTATAATTGTTGCCACACGTTTATTATTCAGCGACCATACTATACCTTCCTAAATAATTTTCACAAAAACACATTTTTTGCGCACTGGTGCACCGGTAAGAACAAAAGAAATCATTTTTAATGTATAGCAAATTACTAGTAAATTTCCGCCCAACAAAATCTGTGCTGTGTCGTCCATAGTATTAAAGTGAGGGAGTCGTCACCTGCGCAAGCGTCAGATGACCATAGTGTGTTATTGTTTACAAACAAGCGTCTAACCATGAGCCTTTGCGTTTTTAGCGTGCGTTGATATCGTCGCTTGGGACTCAATTCCTGCGCGTGCATAGGTGACGACCCCCCCCCCCCCCGCTTTAACACAGTTGATTCATATTTTTTATAATTCTGGTCAAGAGCACACCCGACACAATAACAGAATGTCGCAGTACTCGGCTACATACGTCTTCTAATCGTGCAAATATACCTGCTTGCTGACAACGCATTTTAAATAGTGTTGAATAAGTGATTTTTAAAAGCTTTGCCCATAACAAAATGTATGTTGTTATATTATCTACAACTTTTGAAGAGGGGGTGTCAAAAAAAAGGTATAAAAGTGGGAAAAAATGTTTTAAAAACTCCTAAAATCAGCACATTCTGGGTAACAGCAAATGAATTTAATTAGATGTCACAATTGAATGAACGTAAAATAACACGTATAGCAACCGATAACTGGAGGCGAGAATGCCGTACCAGTTTTGGTGACCAGAGTATATTTCAATTAAAATCTTACCATATAAACGTGAGTCCAGTATTTGCCGGTCCACTGTTCTGTAATATGTCGACTATTTCTGTCTTATTCAGCCCAGCTTCAGATTCGACGGCAAATACCGTGGCAAAAGTCATCATGGCGCTCATTAAACTGCAAACAGACGACAACAAGTTTGGTCAAAATACAGATTAAGGCGGGAAATCGTCATTTGCGCATGCGTCTACCCATAAGCCTTTGTGTTTTAGCGTGTGTTGTTATCGTCCCTTAGTACTCAATGTCCGCGCGTGCGCAGGTGACGACTCTCTCGCTTTAATATAATCACTCGCCTTACCCGCCATGCACGGCTGTCACGCGAGACTAATATAAATTAACTGCAGTGGAGGGAAAACTTGAACGAAAGCATTTATGGAATCGGGAAATCATGATAGTATACTTTCCTTGGCTGTGCATTTAACGTTCATCAGCCCCATTTTCAGAAAGATTACGACAAAGATATTTATTTATAGAAATTCACAACAACATGGTATGATATGTGTGTATAGAACGTGTGACGTCATTGAAAACTAGCGGTGGGGGCCGCGTGATTCCACACACTGCTCCCCCATGGTGGTTAATGTTACCAAGCCTGCGGAAGGTGTCCATGATACTTAGGGTGTACACGGGTGTACACCCATTTACGAGGGGTGGGGTATTAGATTACAAAATAAACATGCTAAAAACTGAAAAGCCAAAAAAAAAAATGTCTACATCAATGGGGACAAATAATCACCATGTACATATTTCAGATGAGAACATATTTAAATTACCTTATTAAATTATTGAACGACGGTATTATGACTGACATCTTTATTATTCCAGTTTTTTCGGTGGTGAAAGCTGCATATGACGTCATTAGACCCCATCCGGCTCCGGTATCGAAGGCGTTTTGGCTGGCTGCGTCAATCCACAGTTGTGGGTCAGCAAGAAGCTCTATAGTAAACAAAACAAGTAACATAAACCACGTGACTTGCCATTTTAGGCGTCACAAGCTATTTTTTTTTCAAATATGGAATTTTAAAAATGTTGCTGTTGCTATGGTCATAGTTGCCACAGAGACAAACATGGTATTTTTTTCCGAGTTGTCATTGTACCATTTATGCACATTAATTAATGAAGTCATGTGACATAACAAGGAGCCAACCAGCTCCATTGTATGGAATTGATTAGAACACCATTCCATTCTCGGGCAAGACTTCTTGATGAGTACCAAAAAGACAAAAATATTTGCAAAAAATATTGAATCAAGTGAGTCAAACAACGTAATATACAACAGTAATGCCCCGCCGTGTGCGATACTATTTATACCAGGTTTTGACTGTGCGGTAGGAAAATCGTTGTACAACTACAAAACCTACCCGACGGGGACTAATAACCATATGATGTTAAACGCTATTAAAATCTTGGAATACAAGCATAGAAACAATTATACAGCGAACAATTTGTGACAAATAATGGACTTTCGTTCGTATGTTGAAAGTTAGTTTAATTTGTTTTAAAATTTACCAAATCTCAGAAATAATTGCTGAAATGTCACCGTCGGAAATATTTTTAGCATTATAAAATGTTTAACAAATTATAAAATTATAAGAAACTTCGGCGTTAACTAACTGGGCATTAGGTGTAGGGTTTTGGTTGATGCATTATACAGTTGTAGATACAGTTTAATTAAACTGTAATTAAATTAAATTTCTTAGTAGAATTTAACAAAAAATAACGTATACTTATTGTCGTCGGATTAACACGAAATTTTCACAGCTTTAAGGTGACAATGAGAGGAACTTGAATGTGTCCAGACAAACTATTTCATGGATTATTTACCAATGTGTTGTGGTTTGAGTTGGGGGCAATGCGACTAAAACAGAAATTAAAATTCAGGACACTACTTTTCAAAACGCGCTGCTTGAATAAAACTGACCAGACACATTCAATTTACCAGACTATTGAACAACTAGGAAAAGTGAAAAAAAAAAAAAAACTTCTCATCACCAGCATAAATGCGTAATTATTTTTTTTTTACAAAAAAAGTAATTTTTCACTTTTGATTGAGTAACACACCGTAGAATGCAGATACGGTAGTCCCGCTACCTTAATTGAGAAAAATAAAAATTAAATTGCATTTGCATAATGGATTGCAATTTAATTAAATTGCATTCCAATATCGGATTATAATTAAGTTGAGCTGAAATTATTGGCTTTACTTTCCCTGGAAGAGCAATACTTGTTAATCTGGCTGTTCTGGCTACATTCGGCTCCGAGTTTTTAAAGACACCTTTACGTGTTTAGCATGTTATCGTTCCTTTGGACTCAATTCCCGCGCGTGCTCAGGCGACGACCCCCTCCACGTTAACTTACCCCAATCGGGCGAAAACAAGAATTTGAGTCCTAACTCTGCGCCAGGCAACGTCATGGCCCAGATGAATGTAAATAAAAGAAGCAACAGAAAAATGGGGACGATGACGCTGTTCACTCTCTCGATCGTTTTCACACCCCACATCACCGCCAATCCTGCGAGGATTATTGCTATTGCCTGTGGAAGTAACGCCCATACGGTTTCCTGTGGAAGAGACGAGCAGCATAATTGTAAAACACAGACCATTTATTCGCTATCGAAGTGTAAAATGAACTTGATATATATTTGCTCCGAACTAATGAAAATATAAAACAGAAATTACAGAAATTCTACTAAATTCAGCTAGAACAAATTTTAATCAAGGTACTGGCAGACTAATAGGTGATTCACTGAGAAAAATATATCAGATGAGCGTATCGCAAACTCAGAGTACACTGTCACTAAATCATTATCAGTATGTATTCTATAGTTTCAGGGCCGTAGCCATCGGGGAAGCTGGAGCTGCCCTCCCTAATTTTGGCTTCGTATTTCAGACGTTACTGCAGTTGAATGTAAAGCGTATTATTCTCGATTCCCCTCCCCTTATGGTGAAAAAAAAATCAGCGCCCGCCATGATTTTTGCATTGACCACCAAATATAACAACATAATTCGGACTAAAAAATCTATAGTTTTTGTTTAAGTATGTGCATCGCCATAATCGTCACGCTGCGCGCGTTCCAATTTATAATACTTTAATTTACACGCGTTCTATACGTCACATATTGGATACGACGCGGTGTGACCACTGTGCCGCTTCAAAGTACACTTTTCACGATTTTCGTGACATTTTATAATTTCAAAACTGCGCACGTTTGCCACGCACCGTTACTAGGTTTCAGACACTTGCAACCTTTGTGATACATTTGAATTATACGCATAAGCTAAATGGTTTATATTATTTTATACATTTATTGCTGTCGACCTACCCCAACAAACGACACAAATATGTCTAAACTTTCTTCCTCTGTGGTGGGCAGAGGATTCACCGTACAGTAACATAGATAGTAGAAGCACCAGGCACACAATACTGCGTAATAACATCTAAGCAGAGAGATAGAAAAATAGTATATGTTCATATTCAAGTTAACGTGCATTTTTTTTTACATTACGTAATCTTCGTAATGCGAAGCTGCAATGATCTCCGTTCTATTAAATTAGCATACATAAGGTAACATTATGCAGGTTGTGCGCAAGTAATCATCGCTCGTACAGCAGGATATTTACAACAATGCGCCGTATGTCGTTAAGAGCGAGAGAGTATTGGTTTTGTCACCGCATTCACTGTTCCAAACGCTATCACATGGTTACATCGATCGGAAAACAAGCTCCTGACCCTCTCGCTCTAAACGAGATCTCTTCGGCCATTCGCGACTACGGTTTATTATTTTTTTTAGCTATTTGCATACAATTGGGAAAGCAAAATGCCACTCATTGCTTTCTTGCATTACTTGGTACCACTTTGTGGATCGGCATTATATGAAATTAAAATTTAAAACACATTTGCGTGCATGGTAATTTAAATTCCGTGCGACAACATTTTTTTTTTATTTTTCCTTTAAATTCTTTGTTAATTATGGACAGTAAAAACCACAATTTTAGATTTGCTACACGATTTGATGTTTTATAACGCAAACTGACAACCAATCTTTACATGGTTTGCTCCACAGCAGATCGTACCACATCAAACACATTGTGAACATTAACTCCCCTCAGCTCTACTATAAATAGTCTGACTGCACCGTTCTCACAATAACTCAGTCAGGTTTATGCCTCAAGTCACGAAAATGATATACCGTTCATAGCAATAATGTTGGTACCAGCAGTCAGTGCTATTGGCGACAATTCCATCCAAAACAATATGCTTGGTTATTTTAACATGTTTAAATAGTATTTTCTGATATTGCATGTTGACAATAAAAAAATGAATAATAAAAATAATGTTTTTCAAGTATTCGTACGATGCAATACTAAAAACAGGAATTATCTGTACGTATATACACGCAAGCGCATGTGCGTTTGTCGGTAGTGCATTGACCGGGTGATAGCATGGAATCATGGATTGGGCTTACACATGTTCAAACCGCAAACATACTTAATTCATAAGAATATAAGCTTTCTTTGTATTATTACAATGATTAAAATAATTTCAACTCAAATAATATGACTTGAGTCTTTGAATAATATGTATGTTCCTGAATATACATTATTGAGGCAACGTGTGATACATTGACGCCACAATTCACATTAAGCCGATCGGGATATCTAGTTGAAAAAAGTTGTTTTACCATGAATACAACAATATTATTTAAACACATTTCAATACCAAGTCAATTCTGGAGACATTTTCATTTGATACGTTCGAAATGTTTTTTTTTTTTTTTTTTTTTGTATTTTTAGAGAAAGCAACAACGTCTGCATGTTAGCGGTCATATTACTAGTAACAAGCGGCATAGAGTAGACGCTGACACAAATGATCAATTTATCAATTTTGGTCTCCCGATGTTTATTCTATTTTCGTTTTGGCGAAATTAGTCGAGGACTAGGGCGGGTTGAAGATCATCGTACACACGATCGTCGCACACGGCTGCGCTCGTATGAACAAACAATATATTTTACACGCGTTGTATACGTTGAATGGGACCCACATCGAACATAACGCGAAACGACGACTCTGGTGCATAAAGTACTCACGCAATCGCCGTAGATACAGCTGCAATCCAGCCTCCTAACCAGATATTTTTCGAGCTCAGAAGATTGTTGAAAATTCGAACTGGGGAACATTTGCAATACCGGCCCGAGGCGTACTCTATAACCAACATTGGAATGGACCAGATGAATAAAAACAGTAACCAGGCTAAGATAAATTGCAAGGAACCTGTAAAGCAAACAAGAGATGAAACATGTACATCATAATGTGATTCGATATTAAAAAAGAAGGAACTTCGTTCTTCACCATAATGTATATGTTTTATCTATGTAACAATGCACCAACGTTACTTTTGTTGTACCAACTGAATACTTGTCTCAATATGAATACAATTCTGACATTTACAGTCTCCATATGAATACAAGTCTGACATTTACAGTCTCCACATGAATACAAGTCTGACATTTACAGTCTCCACATGAATACAAGTCTGACATTGAGTTACCACATGAATACAAGTTTGACATTTACAGTCTCCACATGAATACAAGTCTGACATTTACAGTCTCCACATGAATACAAGTCTGACATTGACAGTCACCACATGAATACGAAGTCCGACATTTACAGTCTATACATCAATACAATGAAGTCTGACATTTACAGTGTCCACATGAATACAATGAAGTCTGACATTTACAGTGTCCACATGAATACAATGAAGTATGACATTTACAGTGTCCACATGAATACAATGAAGTCTGACATTTACTGTGTCCACATGAATACAATGAAGTCTGACATTTACAGTGTCCACATGAATACAATGAAGTCTGACATTTACAGTGTCCACATGAATACAAGTCTGACATTTACAGTGTCCACATGAATACAAGTCTGACATTTACAGTCTCCACATGAATACAAGTCCGACCTTTACAGTGTTCATATGTATACAAGTCTGACATTGACAGTCACCACATGAATACAAGTCTGACATTTACAGTCACCATATGAATACATTTCTGACATTGACAGTCACCACATGAATATAAGTCTGACATTGACAGTCACCACATGAATACAAGTCTGACATTGACAGTCACCACATGAATACAAGTCTGACATTTACAGTGTTCATATGAATATAAGTCTGACATTTACAGTCACCATATGAATACATCTCTGACATTGACAGTCACCACATGAATACAAGTCTGGCATTTACAGTGTTCATATGAATACAAGTCCGACATTTACAGTGTTCATCTGAATACAAGTCTGACATTGATAGTCACCACATGAATACAAGTCTGACATTTACAGTCTCCACATGAATACAAGTCTGACATTGACAGTCACCACATGAATACAAGTCTGACATTTACAGTGTCCACATGAATACAATGAAGTCTGACATTTACAGTGTCCACATGAATACAAGTCTGACATTTACAGTGTCCACATGAATACAAGTCTGACATTTACAGTCTCCACATGAATACAAGTCCGACCTTTACAGTGTTCATATGTATACAAGTCTGACATTGACAGTCACCACATGAATACAAGTCTGACATTTACAGTCACCATATGAATACAAGTCTGACATTGACAGTCACCACATGAATACAAATCTGACATTTACAGTGTTCATATGAATATAAGTCTGACATTTACAGTCACCATATGAATACATCTCTGACATTGACAGTCACCACATGAATACAAGTCTGGCATTTACAGTGTTCATATGAATACAAGTCCGACATTTACAGTGTTCATCTGAATACAAGTCTGACATTGACAGTCACCACATGAATACAAGTCTGACATTTACAGTCTCCACATGAATACAAGTCTGACATTGACAGTCACCACATGAATACAAGTCTGACATTTACAGTGTCCACATGAATACAATGAAGTCTGACATTTACAGTGTCCACATGAATACAAGTCTGACATTTACAGTGTCCACATGAATACAAGTCTGACATTGACAGTCACCACATGAATACAAGTCTGACATTTACAGTCTGCACATGAATACAAGTCTGACATTGACAGTCACCACATGAATACAAGTCTGACATTTACAGTCTGCACATGAATACAAGTCTGACATTGACAGTCACCACATGAATACAAGTCTGACATTTACAGTCTCCACATGAATACAAGTCTGACATTTACAGTCTCCACATGAATACAAGTCTGACATTTACAGTCTCCACATGAATACAAGTCCGACATTTACAGTGTTCATATGAATACAAGTCTGACATTGACAGTCACCACATGAATACAAGTCTGACATTTACAGTGTTCATATGAATACATGTCTGACATTTACAGTCTCCACATGAATACAAGTCTGACATTGACAGTCACCACATGAATACAAGTCTGACATTTACAGTGTCCACATGAATACAATGAAGTCTGACATTTACAGTGTGCACATGAATACAAGTCTGACATTTATAGACTCCAGATGAATACAAATCCGATATTTACAGTGTTCCTATGAATACAAGTCTGACATTGACAGTCACCACATGAATACAAGTCTGACATTTACAGTGTCCACATGAATACAATGAAGTCTGACATTTACAGTGTCCACATGAATACAATGAAGTCTGACATTTACAGTGTCCACATGAATACAATGAAGTCTGACATTTACAGTGTCCACATGAATACAATGAAGTCTGACATTTACAGTGTCCAAATGAATACAATGAAGTCTGACATTTACAGTGTCCACATGAATACAATGAAGTCTGACATTTACAGTGTCCACATGAATACAAGTCTGACATTTACAGTGTCCATATGAATACAAGTCTGACATTGACGTCAACACATAAATACAATGAAGTCTGACATTTACAGTGTCCACATGAATACAATGAAGTCTGACATTTACAGTGTCCACATGAATACAATGAAGTCTGACATTTACAGTGTCCACATGAATACAATGAAGTCTGACATTTACAGTGTCCACATGAATACAATGAAGTCTGACATTTACAGTGTCCAAATGAATACAATGAAGTCTGACATTTACAGTGTCCACATGAATACAACGGCAACAAACTTTCATACGGTATTTTCCGTCGACTCACCGTTATCCCCGCTGTTATTGGCTGCAATTCGTGGAAATCTCCATATATTCCCCGCACCGACCATGCACCCCATGCAAGATACAACCATTCCAAACCGGGATTTGAAATTCCCTCGCTTTGGACCTGAATCGTCATCGTCAGTGTTGTCGTCAACCTGGTAGAAGAACAAAAAAAAACAAAAAAACAAAAACGATTTACATCGATTTTATTTTATTTTGTTTGTTGGACCATATATCCGCTTGATAATGTATTGTTGGTAGTTCAGATGTTCGTCGGCTGAAGGTATTATTAAATTATTATTAGACATTTTTAGAATTTTAATATTGCTTAACATATTCCACAATAAGATTAGGGCGGCGGTCAGTCCTTTGATGTTATTGAGCGAGTTGTGTTTTTTACTTTACACAATTTCACATATATATCGCCCTCATGAGTTCATGCACAAGACCTTTAAGTCGGCAAGGGCGCCCTCACAGTTGGAACTTTTACATGCGGCACGAGGATTCTGCATGTTTTTTTTGTCGTTTGGATTCAAAAAGCTTTATCTTATAACATCGTTTATATTTCTTCCTAGTTTAGTTTTTCCACTTTTACAAATTTAAATCCATCGGTCCATAAAACTAAATCATTTCTAGTAGAATAATTCGCCTAATGTCAATACATGAAAACGCAGAGACTATTGGTCTTTTATCAGTAAGCTAGGTATTCACCAGGAACGTCCCACTAGTTGCCGCTCTCTGTGGCTTTCTAGGTCACGGAGATTCTGCAAGGGAGAGTGGGAAAACGTGGGGCACAAGACGATGTACATTTCCAGCAACTAACAAATCAACAAATTGCCTGTCATATGTAGCATAGTAGTTGTTGCATCGGACTCTATCGGATCGATAGACCCAGGTTCAAATACTACCTTAGATTGAACATTAAAAGGATCGACTGCTACCCTGAGCGACTGTGCCATAGACTCAATGATGAGGAGGCTAAACTGACTTGGCCTACATTCATTCAGTCGCGACGTGTGTTAAACCGGGCCTGGCTAGCTTATTACATTGCTATAATATCATTATTATATAAAGATGGTCACACCGCCCTGTCACGTAGTGCCCAACTAGAATATGGTCACTGTGGCAAAATATACTTGCAAATTGCACTTGAACTACAAAATAATGCCTGTCTCAGTTTGGTTGAACACTGGGATTATGCATGGATTTTAACCGTATTTTGTAAGGTGAGGCGATCTTAAAATCAGGCTAAAGTGCCAGTTGAAGTAGATATCACTGCGCCGCTATATATACAACATGTATATATAGCGTATATACATATATATATATATATATATATATATAAACCGGTAAATGTAAATGTATTTGTACGGTTTTCAACGAACATAGTGCTTGCGCCGCAGTCACGGACGTACCCTAACAGTTTACAAAAAGCGTGATTATAACTGACTCCAATCGAAGGGCATTGACAGTTGATTTTCTATACATACACCATAATTGGCAGCAATATAAACTAGAACAGAATGTTTTAAACAACACAAGTTTGACTTCGTGGCTGCAGTTCCTAAATTTACGAAGCATCCCGCACACAGAATAAACGTTTTTGACAATCAATGTCCGCATCGACTATCAAGTCACGAGTTATTTTATGTTCTGGATAATTAAACTGGTCAACAAAGTCAACATTAATATTATATAAATACAATGGTGGGCAATTGTTCATGCAATTACGACCATTTAAATGCATAGATTTAGACTTGTTTGAGTTGTAGGTAATGCTCTTCGGCGTATAACTAAAAAATATGTAACATTTTGCGCAAACCTTTAATAGAGGGCGCAATTACACACATATCACCTGCGTACCTCAAATTGTTTATAACTTTATCACCAATAAGACAGCCACACGGCATGCTATTGAGTGTTGCACTGAGAGTATTCATATAAATGTTAAACAGTGCTGGAGACATTACTCCTCTCTGTCGAACTCCATTGGAAACATTAACAAATTGTGAGATGGTACTTCACCATCTAACGCAGTAGAACTTGCTGCAATTCTCGGGGGCGGACATCCGGGCATTTTCATCGCATGGCAACTATCACGGTGAAAAACAAACACCGAAAACTCTCGGAAAACGGTACTCTGGGATGGTTGTTGCGACTCCCCTGAACACTTGTTAAATAGCGTCCAATGGTTCACTCTGTCGAAAGCCTTGAACGCGTCAAGAAAACACACACACACACTGCAAGATCATTATACTGGCGAATGGTTTCTTTTAAGAGCAGAATACTGAGATCTGTGTAATGTTTCTTTTTAAAACCAAACTGGTTGTCTGTAGTTTAAAAATCATCTTGAGTAATATATGTTCAAAAACTTTAGACAAAACAGATGTTATTGTTTTATTTTTAAAGAGCGGCGCTATAACAACTTCCATCATAGCCCAAGGGAGTGTTCCGTACACAAAAAATGATGACGACATGCACATTGAGAAATGCGTAGTAACACTGGGGGCAGCATACTTCAAGTGTTCAGCGCATAAAACAGTCAGACCACTAGATTTCCCAAGCGGCATGTTTTTAATAATCCCATCAATTTTCACAGGGGACACACGAAGATTATTTTCGTAGATTTCAGTAATATGATTTAGCATTTTAGTCTTGTACGTGTCATTCGTGGTGGAGTTCAGAGATGATTCGAAATATTTCGCCCACATTTTTGTAATGTCCGTCTCACCAGAAGCATTCCCAACAAAATATGGAATCAAAGTGTCGTATGATTTTGTGACTTCTTTCCAGAACGAGGGTCCGTCTTTATTTAAGAGGTGAGTGGCCAATTTGTCTGCAGTCGTACGAAAATATGCAAATTTGCAGTTGCGTAATGTAAGCTTGTCAGTCTGTCAGTCTTGGCCCTCGGCCGAGCTCATCGTGTCATGAACAGCGCCCTCAATTGGCCACAACAAAAACACTCACGTGCAAAGCTATGCGTATCTTTCAGGTTTGAATTATAAATTTAAATTATAAATTTAAATTATAAATTTGAATTATAAAGTGAGATATGAAGATTTGGGCAAACTTTACAATTTACTTATTCAAGGAGAATTGGTTATTCATGGTATTGGCAGAATTCGACGCTTATATTTTCACCGTGACAGTCAAGGTGACATTCAAGTTCCCGGTGGGAATACATAGAACTTGCCTAATGGGGACGTGCCCCTGAAATGGGTCTCGTTTTTTGGATTTTATGTATAAGTATCGGTCTTATTTCTGGTCAAGATAAGTATAAATATCAGTAATATTTTTCCGATTTTGTATACTTATGGGTCCGTATATGAGCGAATATCTCAACCCGGAAATTAAACAAGGCAACAACATTCAAACGGAGATTTAACACGGAATAGAAGAGGGTGCACATTCCTTAGTGAATTTGCTTACATGTGCTTCTATTGCAGATGTTCTTCTAATGGAGCAAATACGGTAACTGTTTTATTTGGGGAAAAACAGTGATGACAGAAATGGTACTTTGGTAAAAAATATGGGTATAGATGTTGCCACTATCCAAGTATAAAAATGTTCACACTTTTGAGCATCTCTCTACCCAGCTATAAATCAACTGCACCCGGGTGACTTTGTTCTACAGGATATGCTGTTTTATAAATTTATAAAGTACGATTTTTTTAACAAATGACAACTACAGAAATGAAACTTCGCCACTTGTCATACTCTGTTACTGCTACGATCAACCTCTAAGACGTGTTAGGTGTTATTCTTTCAACACAGCCCCATGATGATTGAAATAGACATCGATTGATCTTCACGGAAATAATTAAAAACGGAGACGAGTGTTGTTTTCAAGTCGCAGGAGTCGCCGACGGTAATTAGTACAAGTCGCGCCCAGGTCAAACCTCATACATGTGATTTCCATGAGAAGAGCGCACTGGATTGTGGGAAATCAATGTTTATCAACACAGATGTCGCCCATGCGCGGCGCGACGACTACCGCCCTTTAATCACCGTCCCACACCGAGAGTCACGTTACGAACCAATACCATGGGCGCCCTCAGTGTTCGATGTTTCACGTGGTGTTGCATCCGTGCTTAGATATTTGTCGTGGTATAGTATATATACAATGTATATACATTTATTTATTTTATCACAAACGGTATTGTTGGCCTTATATACAACAACAAATCATAAAAAAACTAAGGAATGATCATGCCATCTTAATCAACATTGGAAATAATATTATCTCTTAATTTGCGACTGTGGAATATATACTTTAATAAAGACAAAAGGAAAAACGGGTTATTTGTCGTCAGTATATTTTCGTCATATTAATTTCATCGAAGCTTTATAACATTTAAATGACAAACGAAGGTCCTTGAATGACGTCACAGGTCCGTTAATACTGTGAACGACTACGCGATGACGCTAAACATTTCTCTAAATTTGCTGGTAGCATTAAAGCTAAATTAAACCACCGATTGTGGACCAGTGTAGTTGTGAAGTGTCGGGCTACTATGCTAGCAATGTAAATACAACAAATCTGTCATAAGTCCGTCTTTGCTAAGGAAAGTAGTACCCTCGGCCGACTCATTTGGTGATTTCGCCTTTGCCCCAGTTGTGTGCTCTTTTCGGGTCGACATAATCGTTCATTATGGAGTTATTGTTACTGGCGTATATTATGTTATAATATACTATTAAAGCAACTTATTGACCGTAGTTGTTTGATATTACACACATGCACTCAGTATGGATTTTTTATAGTACATACCAGATAGTCAGCGCGCATGCTTAAATACTGAAAAAAATACCTTAGGCGATAATTACTATACATTGTGACCATCATACTGAGTAATAATCGGAACCACGGTTATGTTAATGTTTGGGTTTTTAATGTGGATCTGCCATCATCATAACTAATTTCAATCGTAACTTTAGAAAACAATTTGAACGCTTTTTTGTTGATGTTAGCAACGTCGGCCATTTTGTCTGGATCTGCGTTTGTCGCAATAGTTAGGGAAAATGGCTGAAAAATCGGAACGAATTGTGAGTTGTAGAAAAAGTGAGTTGTAGAAAATGTTCATGTTTTCAGTAGGGCGATCATAAGTCTGCGTCTGCTGATGTCCAACATGGCGACGAAATTTTGTACCCCAAAAATGCATCTCGGAACGTTTCACAAGTTAATTTTGTACATTGAATTGGAATCTGTTTTTTTTTATGACAGAACTATAATAGCTTAACAATGTCAGTTTCATTTTCTCGAAGTTTGCAGACATTTTTCTCCCAAATCATTGATTTTTTCCCTGACCGCTGCCATTGGCAGTGTAAGAGACACGGAAAGTTGGTGATTTCATAGTGCAGTTTTAATCTGAATATATGTTTTTTATTTCAGTGTTCATATTCATACCGAATCCTGATAATGCTCGTATGCACCTCCATGGTTAGCCCGTGCGTTTTGCACGGGCTGTCGTTTTAGACCCCTTAATAATCCGTGCTGAGAAGTTGTGTGCAAACGCAGCCAATTAAAGTCATGTTCAGTAATCACAATATTTGTTTACAGGGTTAAAACCTTTGTACGGTTAGGTCACTGAGAGCATCCATTGAACCTCAGACTACAATAGTATACTATCGCAGCACGTACATTAGTTTATTTTGAGCGACATTTGTCAAGAAGATGGGCAGTCTGTTCTGAGTGTGTTGTGTCGTGGACTACGTACGGTTAGAAGGTATACTCAGTGATACCGGATATATATATATATATATATATATATATATATATATATATATATATATATATATATATATATATATATATATATATATATATATATTATATATATGTATACTACCTGAATAACTTGCCAATTACATTGGAAGTTTGTCAACAGCGAAAAACGCTTTGTCGCTGTGTATAATAAATAAAATAACGTTCGAAGGGCAGTATGACAAGCAGGAACATCAACTACAACAGTACAGTCTCTCTACGGCTATAAAAGGACTTTGACACAAGCACAGAGTCTGGAAAACGAGTCTACTTTCCCGTTCGCCTGTAAGCTCACACCTGTGTATCTGCATATTGTACCAAAGACGAGAGAAGAGGCTCCTATTTTTGCTATCATGGGTGGAACCATTCGTTCATCTGCAGTTGTCTGTATAGTGTGGCAACATACGCGTAGTAGTCATTGGTGGCTCGATCGTTGGGCCCCGATGCGGTTACACGGTCGGAGCCATGTATATAGGGGTCCAATTCTATCAGAGATCGGCCCGAGGGTTCATTGGAGCCAAACTTGGCTCTAGCCGAACGCGTATACGCGGACCTTTTTTGCTGTCTCGAGCCACATGGTTCCGACAAATTGCTGTCGTGTAATACACGGCTTTAAAAGTTTCGTCCTGAGCGTATAGTGTCAATTTCTGTTATATGAAATGACATTAAATCGCCACAGTCTTCGCGACGCATCGCGTTTGGTATGGGTCCCATGCGACGTACATGTGTAAACAATGATACATCACGTGATAGATAAACTGCGTTTTTACATGCTGGTGTCTTTACCCCATAGTCTGATTCTCACCTTCGAGGCAATATGATCGTTCCCGTCATGCACATGAGTCGTGTCACTCTGACAAAACAAGGCTAGCTATATAAACGCTACGCTTGTCGATCTTGCGCGCTTTCGAATCTACGTGTACTGTAAAATAGTTTGTTTTAGCTAGAATAAATGTTTTGGTATGGAATTTATTTTCTCTGATTTGAATGTAAAATATAGGGAAAACGGTATATTCCCCTGATTGTATTTTCACTGAATCACTTCCTCAGCGAAATAGCGAAAATAATTAATTCCAAGCGTAAATAAAGTATTTTACAGTAAGCAATATATTACGCGCTTTGAACGCGTTGTATTGAACTCACATCGAACAGAGAAACAGTAGACAAGAAAGCGTGCCATTGTCATGTTCAATTACACTTCGTACTACCAGGCGGAACTTTGCTTGCACTACTCGGACGTCCTTAGTTTTATACACAATGTACGTTGTAATGACTCCCCAGTATGGTATTGCTTTTAAACGCAAATCAAGTGGCGTACTCACCTGAATGGAGTTCTGTAAAGGGGTAGTCTCCCCCATAGTATCCGGTCAACTTCTTTAGATGTTCACTAATTTCATAGAATTTAATTTTCAGTTTGGTATTCACACCTCCTCGATTTTACGTCTAGATTTAGATTTGAGTCAGTGGGCGTGACAGGTGTATACAACTGTAGTTATATGGAACAATGCGGCCACTGTTTAGAGCAAGTCTCTGTTTTTATACGAGCCCTGTCGTTAATACCAGTCTTCGCGGGATTGTTCGTGGATGTATGGAACTGTGGCGAATGGGGCAACTACCGCTGCACAGGTTGTCGTACTCGCAAACGTGGGTCTCACGTTCAATTAATAACAGAGTATTGTTGACAGACAGACAGACAAACAAACAGACAGACATACCCAACGCATAAATCGCCGATTTCCGTTAAATCATAGCTCATATCTGATCACAAATGTAGCCGTAGAGCTGCGTACGACGTGGTCACCCCGGTGCAGTGTAACAATGCATCGATTGATTTACTACACCATCGCCTCTCACCGTGGCTACACGTAGAAAATATTCATTGAGTATACACACACGTGACGTCATACCATACCGGCATATTTATATCCACGAAACAATGTCACGGGTGACTAATTTATTATTAGCTTCCATCTGGGTTATTTGTGTGATATAGGACGGTTTTCTTTGTTGAAAACTTACGCAGGGAGAACAGGTCACGTCTGTCTTCGTCGGTGCAGATCATCGTTCTCGTTTCTCCTAGTACTATAAAATGACTAATTTTGACTAGGTTTAAATTTCACTGATTTGCCATTTCAGGCATTTTCTGTGGGCTTTTAAATTAACGGTCTTATCATTTAGATAATGTGTTTTATGCTAAATTTGACATATTCACTGGGTTTTAATTTAGCGCATTTTCCAGTCAGCAAAATAAGCAAAATTAAAATCCAGCCTGAGTGAATAATTAACCCCTTTACTGACAGTATCTAGATTATTTCAATTTTGTCGATTACATAACCTGCAGCACGTAAGTAAAACTAAAATACGTACAATATTGTGTACGCGTACTTTTGCGTATTTGGATTTTCATCAGTCGTGTAATTGTAATAATTGTATTGTTAAATTCAAGTATCGTTATGAGAAGATCAGATTTGACATCGCTATATATAATTTTCATAAATGAGTAAAATTTATTTTATTTTATTTTATTTTATTTTATTTTAGTTAATTTTAGTTAATTTTAGTTTAGTTTAGTTTAGTTTAGTTTAGTTTAGTTTAGTTTAGTTATAACGCTTAATTTTGTTGGTAGTGGTTTTGTTTTGATGTGAAATGTTATTATACGGACAAATTCTGATATTGAAATCCCCCTAACCTAATTAACGGTTGTCAAGTGGAGGGAATGATAAAATAATAATGCAAAACACTGCGATAAAGACTTTACGTTTTTGACATTATGAAATTCTTTCGTTTTTGTGATACCCCCCCCAATGATTTTAACAAGACATTTCAGAAATAATTGATAACGTAATGTATGCACCATAAATAAATCAAAACACGTAGTAGACTGGCCCAGTCGTAGTGACAGTTTTATGAATCTTTTATTTTTCCTAAAGTTTGGTCCAACGCGAAATTACCACAGAGGAAGTACCCCTATTTTTGTTTTTGCGGACATGCGAACTTCGAAATGAATACTCCTTTCTCAGTGACATTCAGAACGCACATATGCGTATCCTTCGAACAGCCAAGTGGCCCGCGCATCAACTTCATGTATGAACTTACGTTGCCAGTTTGCGCGAGTTGACGGGTTCCAAAACTTGAACCTGAATCATTATTCGGCATAATTATTCGGCCATGTTTTGATACCCGCAGTTACACGCCAGTCTGGCATGGGGTACATGCTACTTTTTTGGCCGATAGAGAGCGTACTCATCATAGGGAAAGCGCCCGAGCCACGTGACTCAAATATTATCACTGCTTGTCTACTCCGAGATTACACTGTGTATGTAGATTTAGAATACTACCAGTAGTATCTAAATTTGACCATATTTGCTGTAAACAAACAGTGTGGGTCTATCTCCGCTGTTGACCGTGACTTGACGTTTTAATGCACTATTATTGTCAGGTGTCAATTCTAGACGCTGAGTGTCACCTGACAATTTTACAGGTATCGGCATGTAGTACATTTTGCCATTATATCAATCATATTCTATGTTTGGTACTACGTGGCATACCATGTTCCCATTTTAATGACATTTTCAGAATTCGTTGCACCAGTCAGTGAGTTTGCTCTACCCCAATTGAATAAATACACTCTCAAGTATCATTGAACAGGTGATCTTCCTTTTTTTTTGGTTTTTAAAATCCTGTCAACAACATCTCACTAGCTAGTGTCATGATGAATTTCAAAATTTAGAACTCATTTTCCATTTAATTATCTAATTTTAATTATCGATACATAAGATGGACAGTACTAACTAACGACAGAAGGCAGAGAAATGTTGCTAGCTTAGGGGGAGTTTGAACAAGCTTATCACATCGAAGTGCTCATATTCGTAGTTGACCTATGACCTCTATATGTGACGTCCAATTTCACCTTACCTGTGATACCAGCAATGGAGTTGACTTTTCAGGGAAATTCTTCATTTCAGACTCGGTCCTATCGATTGAATACGGTCATGACGAAATCCAGTTTAGATTTGACGTCGGCGTATAACATGTGAGAAGTTTTTTGCTGTTTCATCGTGATAAAAATCACGTGCATGTGAAACAAAACTGAACTTTATTCAATTGGTTGGTTGACTGATGGTAATGGTGAAACCTTAGAAGGTAGTCACCGATGAAACTTGTTGCCACTGTGACGGCAAAAGGTGAACAGTCATCACAACACGGAATCTGTGAGTGGAACTTGAAGCTGCAGATCCGGTTTCGACCTGGAGCCTAGCTATTTGACACCGGGCCTCGGACACGTGGAAACATACTGCAAACAATGGAAACTAGATATCAATGTGTCAAAATCAAAAATTATCATTTTTAACAAGCAAGGTAAAATACTAAGTAAGTTCAGATTTCAAATTAATAGCCAAAAATTGGAAAACGTCTCATCATACTCCTACCTTGGTGTTAAAATCAATGCTACTGGTAAACTGAACAGAGCTCAAGAAGACCTTAGTCACAGAGCAATGAAGGCACTTTTTAAACTAAAACAATTACTCTATGCAGACCCAATATCCCAATCAAAACACATCTGA